TATTCCTGGCCAGCTGTTTTCAAGCTGCTTTCAAGAAGAGCTGCAAGGCACAGTGGACAATGGACTACCTGCAAGTCCTGCCAAATATCTGAAACGGACGGTTCTCCAGGCCAATGCAGCTAAGCGTCGTTTCACCTTCAGGACAGGGTGTTCGCGCCCGTGGTCGAGAAACCATTCTTCTGTTACAGGCCGCAGGGGATAGATGCCGGGCTCGGGCGTGCCGGGGAGCTGCCACTTGACGTCCGGGAATTTGACGTACACCACTTCGGGCTGCTGCTCGTTTTCGGGCCACACCCAGGAATGCACGTGACCGCAGCGCCCGCGAAGCAGGAACTTGTCGGACCGGTCCACGTGGTCGGTGAGGGCGACGGGCATGCCGATGGCGAGGGGGAGCAGGCCGCAAAGATCTCCCGTATGTCGGTCGTGGTACTGCAGCCATTTTCTTTTGGCCTCCTTGCTGCAGTCCTCGGTTTGAAGAGCTTTGGCCTCCGCGACGTCCTTGGCCACGGACCACCTGAGAGGAGCTCCGGACTCTTTGCTGTAGGCTCTGGCCTTGTCTTTGTTGATCTGGTAGCGAGCGTCGTTGTTGGCCACGATGACCACCGCCTTCCGGAACTTGGCCTCCTGCAGCCGTGGATCTTCGTCGGAGCTGATGACTCTGCGGCGCGACTGCCTCTCCGCTTCCGACAGGGTGCAGCCTTCCACAGGGATGCCGTGCAAGTACTTCCAGTTCTCTTCCGACAGATAGCCATGCCGAAGCTGCTCCACCACCTCGTTCCACCACCCGTCGGAGCACCGCAGAGTTTCCGTCAGCTCGGTGACGCCTTGGACCGCTCCGCGCCAGAAAAGGTCCCGACCGCGCTCGACGAGAGGGTCGGTGCTCTTGTCGACCCCGGTGGCAGACTTCAAGCTGTGGGGAACGTCCGCAATGAAGCCGCCCTCCGGCGGCGGGAACTGGAAGAAGTCGCCCATGAAGATCATGTTGATGCCGCCGAAATCTCTTTCACGTCCCTGGCCGTCCAGCTTGAACTCGTCTTTGCTGCTCTTGTTCTCCCGCTGTCGTTGCTCCATGCGGGCCAAAAGCTTCGCGCTGACCATGCTGATCTCGTCCACGATCACCCACCGCCGGAAGCGGATGCCCTGAACGAGAGGATTGTCTCCCTCGGTCGGCTGCCCACTCCTGTTGAAGCCGTAGGCCCTGTGTATGTTCTTGCCGCGGATGTCCGCCGCGTTCACTGCTTGGAGCGCCACGACCTCGTACTCGTGGCCCTGGGTGTATTTCAGCAAGTCTTCGAAGAGCTCGCGGAGGAACTGCAGGATGTGGGACTTGCCGACGCCGGGCGGCCCGTGGAGCAACCAGATCAACGGCTCTGAGGTCTTCCGGATGGAATCCTCCGGTCTGATGAGGTTGAGCTCCACCATGACTCTGTCCACGACGAGCTCGAGGAACTCGTGCTGCTTGGCATTCACGGCCCCGCGCACTCGGTCGCTGTGGAGCCAGTCGAGGAGCTTGGCGGCGGTCACGGGCTCCTGAGCCTGCACCTCGGGGCTTCGCTCGTCCCCGCGCGTGGTTCGTCTATCCTTTCCTTTGTCGCCTCGGACCCGCGAATCGATGGCGGCTTGCCTCACCCGCTGATGGTCCGTCACGGGCTCCTTGGCGGATAGCTCGCGGAACCTGTTCCTGGCCTCCGAGTCGGGTCCACCTTCATCGTTTCCTTCCAGCCAAATGGCTTGCGACAGCGCGAACATCTGCTTGGTGCGGTCGGCGTGCGTCTGCACCTCGTTGCCCGCGTCGCCAGATCCTCCTCGAACGTGCGTTTCCATGGCCAGCGTGAGGTCGTCCTGCGGGCGCCGACTCAAGCCTAGAACTTAAAACCAAGCTCAACGGCAATGATCGTAGCAAAAGTGCTTCACTACCTGGGCTTGCAAGGTCCTGGTCGAAGAAGCAGGGCACGTCCTCCAAGTCTTCGTTGTCGCTGTTGGCCTCCAGCTCCGTACCGGGTCGGAGCTCCCGAGGCAGGCAATGGACGAAGCAGAACTGGGCGGCATAGCGCTTCACGGACTCTGTGGGGAAGCCGCGTCGGCCCAGCCAGAGCCGTGCGGCCTGGAGCCAGTCCGTAGCCCCTTGGTCGCGAGCAGACAGGTCTCCGAGGAAGGCCACGAGGTCGTCCTCCGAGGCGTCTCGGCGATCATTCACCCAAGGACGAAAGAGCAGAAGGAGCTTCATGGCCTGGTCGTCCGCGGTTTGGTTGCCGCCCTGCGCACCGAAGAGCACCGGCACATGAGGTCGCTTGCGCGGCACCATGACCCAGTCGTGCTTGAAAGGCTGGGCGAGCTCGGGTTCGCCGAAGGGGATCCACTCCTCGTCGGGGCCAGGCTCCCGAATGCGATAATCGATCCCCGGCGAGAGCTTGGCCTCGAAACGATGCCAGCGCACTTTCTCCTTGCCCGCCTCCGTCAGTTGAGCCTCGTGGCGGAGCGGGTGGTGCTTCCTCCCGTCATCGTCCGACTTGATGCTCCAGGGATGGGTCGCTTTCTTGAACTCGAAGTGCATGGCAAACTCGTACGCCGACAGCTCATGGACGCGCGGATCTCGGCCGCGGGAGCCGTAGAGCGTCCAGAACGGACAGTGCCTCACCGCTCGAGGCTGCTGCTGCTTTCTCCACTTGGGTTCGGTGGTCCAACGCTGCGGCTCTGCAGGCCAAGCTTCCGCATCGGCGGCTGCCTGCAGCAGGCTCAAGCCGTACCACAGCGGAAGGCCTACGACGGGTGCGGTGCGGATGGACTCCGCTTCCACGGGGTCGCCGTGCTTGCTCCGCGTGATGAGGTTGCTGCATTCCACGGCACCGCGACAAACACCTCGACCGAAGCTGTCTGTGATGAAGCGGTTCTCCACCCGTGAAGCCACGTACCCGGCTGGCTTGCCCTTCAGCTCTTCTGCGAGCTCCTTGTTCCCCTTGTTCCACTCCTTGATCTCGTGGATGGCGATGGGGAGGCGCTTGTTCTGGTAGTCGCAGCCGTAGCCCGCCTGGGCGGCCTGGTTCCGCTGGGCTTCACGAACCAAGGTTCGCACGGCTTGGCTTGCTCCGCGGCAGCTCTCGTCCTGGCATTTGTGGCTGTGGATGTCTTCGTTGATCGGGAAGCGGTAGGGCAGCTGCAGATCGGAATTGCAGCGAAGCGCCGCCAGCAAGGCAGGGTGGGTGCCGTTGAGCTCCGGGTCGTTCACCGGACCCCAGAGGGAGCCGAGCATGCTTTTCTTGCCTTTGATGGGCATGTCCATCTGCTTGGCCAGTCCTTCGCAAACGATCAAGGTCTCCTCGGTCAGCTGGTTGTTGTGCGGGAAGCCGGACTTGCACTTCGTCGGGTCCCGCTTATCGCGGCAATGCGAGAGTGGAAGTCTGGGCCCTTGCGGATCCGTGTCCTTGGGCAAATGAACGTGGTGCTGCTTGTGCTTCTGGAGCTCCTCCACGTCCTCCTCCAAGTGTTTCTGTTTCCAGGCTTTCGCGGAGAGCCGGGCATCGCTTTGATAAGCGGGCCGACTGAGCATGAGGACTGAGCTCCGGTACTCCGGCCATTCCTTTTCCACGGTGTCGCGCTCCTTCTGCCAGGCCGCCGGATTGCAGTACACGGTGCGCCTCACGTGGGCGTTGTAGGCCTTGTACTTCTCCACCAAATCCATGTAAGCTTCTCTGCCCAGCGCCACGATCTCCGAGAGGGGCGTGTACTGGTGGAGGCACTGCAGGAACACTTGGAAGTGAGCGTGTAGAGCGCCGCTCCTCTGGCATTCGATGGAACCGAAGGCTGCATCCACTCTGCCCAGTACTCCGCCCATGGCCGTGGCATTGCTCCCGAACGCGTCCGTGCAGGGCTTGTCCGACTTGGCGCAGCTCGGACAGTTTGGGCACCAGCGAATCCCGAAGAGATGCCGCAAGACCAACTGCACCAACGTCCAGAAGCCATCAGCACAGGCAAGAGGGTCTCTGGCCAGGATCGCCCTCCGCTCGTCGTAGTCTGGCAGGATTGTGGCCAGCACCTGAGGGTCCAGCTCCATGAAATCCTCGTCCAGCGGCGGTTGGCTCCTTTCCTGACAAGTCGGCTTGCCGCTCTGCTGCAGGGCGGGGTCCGTGTCTCGAGTTCTCGCTAGCCTCAGCATCAGCGTGGAATCCCTCTCCGAGGGCGAAAAGGTCAGGAAGACGGAAGTGCCATAACACACTCTGTACGCGTGGGTCTGCTGCCGCATGAGGTTCCTGGTCTCGTGGGTCCCTGGGATGTTGCGGCACTTGGCGTTGACGTCCTGCGCTATCTTTTTCGCAGTAGCCGATAGTCCCGGCACGTGCTGGACTTTGGAGAAGTCGCCTTGCACGCTCTTCTGGGCGCCGGTGATGTCCACGTACTTCCCGCGCTGCAGATGCTCTCGAAGCTCCGTCGACCCCTGAAGGAACTCCTCGCCTGTGATCTTCTTGCCGCCTTGGGAGTACAAGGAGGTGCTGCCATCCAAGTTCACCATCGTCCGAAAGAGATAGTTCCACAGAACGAAGCCGAAGTTCCAGTCTCGACGGAACTGGGCTTCCACTCGGCGGCCCATGATGGCAGCCCAGTCGTGGATGTCGACGGTCGGGGCAGCGGAATCCTTCTGACGCCTCCGACTGACCGATGGGTTCTTCTTGTTGAGGACGTCTGGACACGCGGTGCCGTGCTTGAAGCAGAAGGCGAAGGCCATGGCGAAGTAGCGGGGCTGGAACTGGTCGACGAGAACGTTCCCCGTGGTCGCCACCAAGGTCTCTGCTTTCCTCTCTGCAATCTTGTCCACTGCCTCCAAACTTGTGAGAGCTGCCATGCCCACGGCATTCTGGTCCTGTCGGTCGAGGCTGCTGCCCTCCGCCACGATGGCTCGCGGCCGCTGCGCCGAGAAGGTGGCGCCGGCCTGTCTGCAGGATGCACGCTGCTCAATTGACAAGCCGGTTTGCTTGCTCTAAGAGTCTACCTCTGACAAATTCTCGTTATAGTTTCCCTGCCTGATCGATGCTCCTGAGGCCGTCAACCGGCGTGGCGGCTTTCTGTGGCTGGAGCTTCTCCTGCGAGTCGTCCAGCTCGCCGAAGATCTTCACGACTTCGGGCGGCACACCGTCCTCCGGCAGCGAGCTTGCCTTCTCCCTCATTTTCTCTTCTTGGATTTCTTGGAAGGAAGGGTGTCCACAACGGCGCATGTCCAAGATGAGCTGCACCACCACGTGCCGCCGGACTCTTGCCTGGTGAATCAAGTTCTTCAAGTCCGCCTCGGAAGTCTGGCCCGTCTTGTTGGTCTTGAGGATCACCCGGACGACGTCGGAGAGCTCGTTGGGGCCCCGGGGTAAGTCGGAAGGGGTGGTGTCCTGGCCCTCCAGCTTACGAAGCAGGTCCTCCCAAGGCAAAGGAAAGGTAATCGCATTACCGCGGGCGCCCATACGATGGCGCGGCATGTGAGCCGTCTGGTCCAAGGGCGCTCCCTCCGCCCGGTAGCGAGCCTCCATCGTCAAGCAAACGAGGGTCGTGATGTAGGGACTGGCACACAACATTTCCATGACCGTCACGTTGTCCTGGTAAAGCCTTTCGGGGCCGTAACCTGTCCACATGTCATTTGCGAGGCTCGCCGGAGGCAGCTTCTTCCTGCTCAAGCAGTCCAGGCAACCGCGACAAACCGGCACCTCGCAATGCTCGCAGAGAACTCTGGCGCGGGGATGCTCTGGATTCCTTGTGCATCTGTGATCTTCGGGGCAGCAAAGCAAGCGAACGTGCTGTGCTTCCCCTGCCAGTTTGAGGTGCCAATTCTCGAAGTCCTCGGAGTCGGTTAACTTCGTGTTTTCGACCAGATGGTTGTACTTTCCAAGGAACTGGTCCAATCCCAGGAGCTGCTCGATGACCTTCACGGGCTGGCCGAGGAACTTGTTCGTCTGCTCCAGAGGGCGGTGCCACTGGATGTCGCCCCGAGCTTCCGTCTCTGCGATGCGCGTGTAGCTGCAAGCGCACGAGAAGCAGATCAGGGATTCCACGTGGTCCTCAGCAGTCGCCTCTGCGAACTTTTCCAGGGCGATCCGGTCGAGCGAGCTGCCCGCCAGGGGAGCGGCCGAGCGGCACTTGACGCTCAGAGCGGCATTGTAGATGCTGAGCAGATCGTGCTCGTCATGGCCATTCCACAGAAGATTTGCCAGTGGATCAAGGTCGGGGCCATGCTGCTCGTGGAGGTGCTGAAGCAGGTCGTCCTCCGTGCCCGTTCTGGCCGTCCACAAACAGCCGCTGAACGCACAGAAAGCATGGGGCCACGCTTCGCCCGCATCCACTTCTTCCGGCAGGGCAAGAGGTGGGAGTGTGGGATGGTCCCGAAGCCTGGTCGTCGCCAGCTTCGTAATGGCATCCTCCATTTGGCGATGCGGATGGGTGGATGCCGGCGCCACGATCGCCTTGCACACTTCGTCCAGGATGTCTTCGGCAGGGTCAGGGGCCTCAGGTGCCAAGACGGACTCCGCCGATCTTGTTTTCTTGATTGGGGGCAGTGCATCGCCGCTTTCCAGCGGCGGCAATTCGCCCGGCAGTCGCCAGTACCTCATCGGCCACGTCTGACCCTTCCACGCGGGAACCAGCAGTGCCACGTCTTCGGCTTGCACCAATGCATCGTAGTGGTCTTGTCCATTGTAGAACACATGAACCGTGGGCAAATCAGCGAGATTTTGAAGATCGCGATGGGTGGAGTCGATTGCGACGATGGAGCCGTCGGGAAGGTACGTGTGCACGTGCACGCGGCATCTCTTCATCAGGGAGAAGGCCACGATGGAGTCGTTTCCAGCCCAAGCCTCCTCCGATCCTCTGTCCAGACGTTCCGCTTCTTCTAGCCAGCTCTCTGCGAAGTCGCCCTGCTCGAATGCATGGGCTGTCAAGAAGCTTGTCACATCCCGGCGAAGAGCCTGTCCCAGGTCTGCAGGAAGAGGCCTGACACCGTTCTCGTCCTCCATCGTTCGCTTGTGACCATGGGCCAGCGCGTGGAATAAGCAGTTGCCGTCCGCAACACTCTTTATCACCTGCAAGAAGGTTGTGTCCGGAGCAGCAGGCACCTGCACGCGAAAGGGTTGAATGCCCGAGTGAATTAGCAAACAAGCTTAGCGAGCGTTACACGTAAAATCAACAACGCAAGCGATGCGGAGGGGAGTTGCCTCGCTGGTGCTGGAACTGCACTTTGCTGCCGCGGCCTGTGCGAATGCTACATCGAGGTGCCGAACACGCGGAATTCTGGTTGCCAGCTTTGGCGGTCCGTGCCCGAGCCTGGCACTCGTCGGCAGAGGCCGTGTTGCCACAAAGAGCCTCGCGAAGGGTTACACCGTGCTTCAGTATGCGCTTGCGGCACTTCTTCAGGCACTGGCATGCTGCAGCCGATTCCGCTGTCTGCGACCCATCGTCCACGTACTTACGACCATTGCGTCAGCACGGTTGTCGGGATGCAATCTCCGATGACCTTGGAAGCAATGAAAAATCAAATTGAACTGATGTGATCTGGAGCATGGGAACAGAATTGCTCCGAGTCCCGTGCTCGAGAGCAGATACGCCAAGCTGAAGGGAACCTCACAAGCAGATGGCTGGGCAGTGAAATGCTTCTACGCGCAGCCAACATAATAGGCGAGCCCGCCTCGGTGCTGCTACTGGGCCTGACGTTTTGCGTGTCATTCACGTTGGTCGTTGCCTGTCTCCGTCGCCGTGCCGTGCGGCGATGCCGCTCCGGGCGTGCTGTTGCACCGCTTGTGTCGCCGCATTCGTGCGAGGAAGCTCTCGCAGTGGCCCTTTCGGCCTGCAGCTGCTCGGAATGAACACTCGGTCACCCGGATGTTGCTGCATCCCGCGCCTCTGCCAGTTGGAAAGCATCTTCGAGTGCGGAATCGTCCTCGGCCGTCCACTGTGTTGGCTTCGGTAGTGTCGGCGCGGGAGCCTGCAGACTGATTGCAAAGTATCTGAGTCTTTTAAGCGTTCGCATGGGCCGTGCCTTCTTGCGTCGGTGCACCCGTTGCTGTCCACTTGGGCGATGGGCCGACCTTCGTGTCCGGGAGGTCGTCGGATGCGTCTTCCATGCCTCGGTGCGGGCACACTGTGTTGATTGCTGTTCGAGGCCCGCAAGCAATCGCCTCGTCGATTTTGATCATTCCGGCCTCGTTGGGTTTCGTGCAGGAGCAATGCTATTCATGGGCCAGCGGTTGCATGCATTGTGTTCTAATGAAGTTCTGGGACGGGGACGGGCGTCTTCAGCGTCAGGGCGCACTGCGTTGCCAGGTATTGCTTCTTGAACGCCTCAAAGTCGAAGCACCATCCCGCCCCCTGTGCGCGGCAAGATCTGGCGATCTGTCTGTCTTCGTCTCTGCCGTTTTTTCACTCGCTCTCTCTCTCTCTCTCCCTCGGTTTCTCTGCTGTTGTTCCTTGGTTGGAAATAGGAAGACAGGGACTGAGTGCGGGAGAGTCTGTACGCCGCACGCGTTGAGTGCTAGCTTGCTTCATGCCACCTGTTCCTCCTCGTCCTCGACGTCGGCCCATCGGCGCCGGTTGCTCGGGTACATTTCGATTTGACCTGCAGGGCCGGCGGAGAAGCTTATGCTGCCATTCCTTCCCTCTTGCTGTCCGAAACGGCTTCGGCCTAGATTGTCGCTGGAAGCTGCGGAACTTTTGCTTTCTGATGCTCTTGAGCACGAATTGGGCTGCGGTGCCAGGCGAGCGCCAGTGTGCTTGCTCGCACTGCAGGCACGATGGCAGCGACGTTGGCTTGCAGTCGGTTCCAAGCAATTTTACCGCTCGCTCCGTGGCGTCCCGTCCCAATCACTACCACCTAGTTAAATGGGCGGGGGCTGTCTCGAACAAGGCAGCGGTTCTTCTTTTCCAGACCGTCCAACTCAAGCCAGCCAATATCCGATGCCGTCCCACGCCTTCCAGCCGGAAAGCCCGCCCAATGCGTTACACTCCCCGCGTGGCAGTGGAGCCCCCAGATATTGACACTTGGTGTCTACTTTCCTTGCCTCGGATACGAATGGGCCAGAAAGAATCACCAAGACCCGGGAGTACGATTTGTTACGGATAAGAGTGTGCCAGAAAGAACCCCGTAGAGCAAATTCCCCACTAAACGAAGCAATTCAGCAAGAGATATCCGCTCCTAACGCCCCAATAAGCGAAACAATTCCGCGAGAGGATTTCCTTCTAACGCCCCAATAACATGCACGTGTTTAATTGCAGCCGAGTCGCTTGCACCAAAAATCAGTCCTTGGCTTGGACATGTTCAGTGAATGCATGCGTGGGAAGTATGAGAGTGTGAAGGTCTTCGAAGGCACCCCCCAGCGTACTTAGTACTGGGATGGCCTTATTTTAGGCGCCTTATAAGAGAATGTCCCGCAGCACACGCTCCCTGCTTCCCCGATGTTTCTGGTCGGATTGAAACATCCTTCGCCCATATGTGTTCACCGATTGGAGATAGATCGGATCCCCGGTAGTAACGCGCACCCGCGAGCGAGTACACGCGTTCCCGTTGACAGGCTCAATGGGAAGCCCCCTTGGCCCTTGGCACTGAGGAAAACAAACCGATCCTCGCGCAAAGCGCGTCCGTGGCACACATCCCAAAAGTATGACCGCCGCCAACTTTTGGAATGCTCAAGGAAGGCACCTCGGCTCTTTTTAGGTATTTGGAGGCCGCTTCGCTAGTGAACTGGCGCGTACAGCAGTCGCTGTAGTTCAACGCCATTACTAGCTTCCAAAAGACACCTGGCATGCCCCCCTTGGGGTGCGAGCGGAGGGTCCAGAAACGCACTGCGTGTACGGTTCGGGTTCGGCGTTTTCGGTGCTTGGCTGCCACTTGCCAGGCCTCATAAATTGCCGGCAGGTGGCAATTCTAGGGGGTCTAGATTGTCAGCAGGTGGCAATCTTAGGGGGGTACAGATTGCCGACAGGTGGCAATCTCAAGGGGGTACAGATTGCCAATAGGTGGCAATCTTAGGGGGGTACAGATTGCCAACAGGTGGCAATCTTAAGGGGGTACAGATTGCCAACAAGTGGCAATCACAGGGGATCTAGATTGCCAGCAGGTGGCAATCTTAGGGGGGTACAGATTGCCAACAAGTGGCAATCACAGGGGATCTAGATTGCCAGCAGGTGGCAATCTTAGGGGGGTACAGATTGCCAACAGGTGGCAATCTTAAGGGGGTACAGATTGCCAACAGGTGGCAATCACAGGGGATCTAGATTGCCGACAGGTGGCAATCTTAGGGGGGTACAGATTGCCAACAGGTGGCAATCTTAGGGAGGTACAGATTGCCAACAGGTGGCAATCGGGTTGGTGGAAAGGGGGCGGATGGCTGTCACACTCCCTTGCTGGCCGGTTGCCCCTTTGGATTGTCAGCAGGTGGCAATCTTCAGGGCTTCAGATTGTCAGCTGGTGGCAATCTGGGTGGAGCTTGGTGGAAAGGGGGCGGATGGCTGTCACACTCCCTTGCTGGCCGTTTGCCCCTTTGGATTGTCAGTAGCTCTGGACCCTCCCGGCGGATGGCTGTCACACTCCCTTGCCAGATTGACAGCAGGTGTCAATCGTGAGAGGTCCGGTGGGGGAAGGGGCCGGTTGTTGGCTTCTTGTTTCAAGGATGTTGAGCACGACAACCAGGACTAACAAAATGGGGCTTTTTTTTCTGCACTGGTTCTTGGCTTCTTGTTTCAAGGATGTTGAGCACGACAACAGGACTAACAAAATGGGGCTTTTTTTCTGCACTGGTTCTTGGCTTCTTGTTTTAAGAATGTTGAGCACGACAACTAGGACTAACACAATGGGGCTTTTTTTTTCTGCACTGGTTCTTGACTTCTTGTTTCAAGGATGTTGAGCACAACAACAAGGCTTAACAAAATGGGGTGTTTTTTATCTGCCTGGAGGCGGCTCTCGCCTCATGTGACGGCGCTGGTTGTACCTTGGCATTGGCCGGGAAATCGACGCAAGCATGTTGCAAGCTTGACAGAAGCGCGCTCTGCACTTGGACATGTTTGTTTGCAGCCGAGTTGCGATCAGAGCCATACCTTGGCGAGCACATGTTGAGTGAACGAATATGTTGATCATGGGGAGTGTGAAGGTCTTTGAAGGCGCCCCCCGGATGGATGATGATTCATGATGAATCCGGGATAGCCTTGTTTCAGAATCCCTTGTCAGAGAGTGTCCCTCAGCACACGCTCCTACTTCCGTAGCCCGTGTCGGATAAGAATGACAGAGGGGCTTCACCTGTAAGTGGTATCGCCAATCTCGGATTGATTGGACAGCCAGGTAGTAACGTGCCCCGCACGCGTTCTGTGCTGCTCATGGTGCCAAAGCTTGAGTCCAAATTTGCTCTACGGCGAGTGTTTGCGTTGCGGCAGAGAAACCTGACACTGGAAGCTGACGAGTTCAGGAAGAATAGCAGGGGTGTTGCGCGAGGCAGTGTTTTGATAGTGGGAGCGTGCACGCATGTGATTGCAGCCTGGCGGCTGCTGCGCGTTTCGGCCTTGTTGGCCGTACCTTGGCGTCCAGATCAGATGATTGCTAGCACATTGGAAGCCTAGCATGGACAGATGTGGACATGCACGTGTTTAATTGCAGCCGAGTCGCTTGCACCAAAAATCAGTCCTTGGCTTGGACATGTTCAGTGAATGCATGCGTGGGAAGTATGAGAGTGTGAAGGTCTTCGAAGGCACCCCCCAGCGTACTTAGTACTGGGATGGCCTTATTTTAGGTGCCTTATAAGAGAATGTCCCGCAGCACACGCTCCCTGCTTCCCCGATGTTTCTGGTCGGATTGAAACATCCTTCGCCCATATGTGTTCACCGATTGGAGATAGATCGGATCCCCGGTAGTAACGCGCACCCGCGAGCGAGTACACGCGTTCCCGTTGACAGGCTCAATGGGAAGCCCCCTTGGCCCTTGGCACTGAGGAAAACAAACCGATCCTCGCGCAAAGCGCGTCCGTGGCACACATCC